GAATATAGGTGTTCTGAACACTGAGTAAGGTTTCCTGAAAGATTTAATAATGGTGAAGTAATAGTTAAAATGTTTTTTGCAGGGACTCTTAGCTTATGTGTGTACTGAATAGTTGGGTGTAATTTGAAACTGTCCGGATAGCAAAACCATGAAAAATGGGAGTAACTACTGTGCATATAAAGATTTATTATGCATCTATGTTACAGTATGCTTATTTTATCAAAAATAGACCATTATGAAACCTGGCTTTTGCACCTGCTCTTCATTAATTTTTGAAGTTAAATAGCTCTGAGTGGTCTTTTCTACCAAATACCAGAGGGCACTTGGGGGTTATTAGCAACAAATACTTGCAGAATGTAGAGTTTAACATTAATGGTAAAATAATCCACTACTAAAATTGTAGTTTAACTACTGTTAAACACAAAAAAAAAAAACAAAAACAGAAACCCCACGCTAAAAAAACAAGCCCACTCTCAAAAGCTTTAAGCAATGGAAAACTGTTACATTACTTTCTGCTGGTTTTAGGACAATTAGAATTTGACATAAATAAAAGTTAAAGTGGTAATACAGTTGTATTTGTATTGAAAAAAAAGTAATGTCATTAGAGAATAATAGAAAAAGACCTCATAATTTAAGAAAATAACAATCATACTTGACATATTTTCTTTCTTTAAAAAAGTTCACGTGTGTCTGGAAGTAGTTGAATGTTAGAGTTTTAGTTTCACATGTAGTGTGTGATATGAATCCGTTACACAATTGGAATTATTCTGGAAGTTTTTTCAGAAGAATCATCTCAGCAATGTAAAATACGAAAATAAATGCTTCTTTCTCCCTGCTTTACTGTTATTTAGGACAGAAATTTTATCTTTAGGGATATAGAAGCAAAGCTGGTTTAGGAAAGAAATGGAGGTCAGTCTCTCATGACTGTAAGAAGGAAAATAAGTTAATTTTTTTTTTTTTTTTTTAGATGCAAACATTGGTAATTCATTTTTCAGCAAATAACAAATGTCTTTGCAATTAATTTTGCATGATTGGCCTTCAGTTATCAGCCAAGAAATGTGATCAGTCATAATTTAGTAGTTTTTCAAAATGTCATATGCATAAAGTTAAAATCTGCTCAGCAATCAAATAGGTAGGTATTTGTTAGTGAATCTGGAATCTTAAAAAATGGAAAAAACCCCAGAGTTCTTAACTACTAGGGATGGAAGAAAGAGGCCAGTAGGAAAAGTTCCAAACTTCAGATATTGCCTTCTTGATCTTTTTTTGACTGTTCTAAGAGTTTTGACCCAAACTTGTCACAGCATGTGCTTTCATGACACATACTACTAACCAGAGAAAAAAGAATTTTAATATATCTTAGTGAGCATTCATTGGGATTTTTTGACACCAGCTTTTGTGTAACAGTCGGATGCCTGTTACTTTGTATTAAATCAATGCTGATATTTAGAGGACACTAGATGTTTTGATTCTTAAGATGGATGAACACCTTTGGTACAGAAGATTGCACTGAGCCGAAATTAGCATTCCTACTATTTTTAACATTAAAATGTCTTGCTGGTTATTGGTTCATGTTTTTTTGGGGTTTTTTTTGGTAAATAAACTATAATTTTTTTTTTTTTTTAAAGTGTGAGCTTTCTTAGATCTAGAATGACCTTGCATTACTCAGTTCTAAACCTTACTAAAGCTTATTTCATAAAGGTTTGTTTCTTTATCGTGGGAAATAAATAAAGCTGCTCTGAGTGTGTGGCCTAAAGATGTTGTGCTGGTTTCTGGCCTTATTTTGAATCCTTTTGGTTGAAAATTTCCAAATACTTTAATTCCAAGACTGAAACGGTAGAAAAATACTCTTGTGCCCAACTGAGTTATTTAGAAATGTTTTATTATTGCTCAGTTTCCAAGGAAGAAAATTGAGTTTGGCTGCACTGAGGATGTTTTAGTACATAAGGGCTGTGTGAAATTCAACAGGACTTTCCATGCATTTGCAATTCAGGGCTGCCTTAGGAGGAGATAAATCTGGGCATAATAATAAGAGTACAGGTTGGCAGGAGAGGGAAGGCTGGTACAAAAAATTGTTTATTTAAAATAAACGTACTGGACTTTTTTCAACCTGTGTCTGCTGCTTCCCTGGCAGGAAAAAGAGGGGAGATGGCCTGGTTTAAGTGTTACAGGCAAGGAAATCAGGGGCTGAGTGGGGAAAGTAGGAGCTCTTGACCAGCTGCCACAGCACAAGACCACTAGTTCAGAGTCTGGAAGCTGGATCCATGCTGGGATTAGGAACCAGTGGGCAGAGGGGAAGACATGATGGGGATGAGAAAATATATCTGAAGGAGCGAGCAGAACCAGGAGAGCAAAAAGGCAAATTGGGCAAGGAATTAATATTGAAGAAGATGCTTGAGACCAGGTTACATATATGGTTGAGAACCTGAGATGGCTGCTTCCTTATATTGTAGCCTAAGCCTGTTGCCTTTCAGCCTTGCACTAAAACTAAAGTTTGGGAGTGAGGGGAGAGACTGATCCAGATGTGTTACCTCGTCCAGGGCAGAATAGTGGAGTTTGGAAGAAACAGGTAGAGGAGACTGTGATCACGGAGCTGCCATTTGGTGCTTGGAACCAAGCCCAGACAGATCATTGCTGCTGCCAGTTCTTCAGCTCGGGTGGCAGATATGTGACACTTAAGATTTATTAGCCCAGGTTTCAGTAAGTTTCCACATAATTTGTTTTTCGCTGGCTATTTTACAAATGACTAAAATAAGTGTAGGCGTATGTCAAAGGAAAAGAATGAGAAATTTGAGAGCTTCTGAAAAGGTTGTCAAGACCATGTCCTGTCCCAAGATGCAAGATGACTATGTGCTGTAAATCAGATGCGAGATTAAAACCATCTTGTGTGCAACTGCCCTGTTGAACTGGATTCTCCCATGTTCCTGTTGCAATGACCTTATGCATTATCCACTGGTAAACTAATAACTAAATAGCTGAAAATAAGTTGGTTTGCTGGGTGCCTTCCTCAAGGATGTGGAAGGGCTGTGTATTCCCTGGGATTGCTGTAAGACCAATACTTTGAGAAATAGGCTTTTATCAACAAGTCTTCCAAGAGGAGGGAATTTATCTAACCTTAGTTTGGAAGTAGCTCTGGCAGCCTGTATGTGCAGCGATGCTGGAGGTACGTTTTGGGAGCGAAAGGGTCAGGATCCTCAAGGTTTGTGTTCAGTTTTGGCATCTTTTGGCAGACAGCCAGTGCTGTCCTGCTCAACACGAGGGAAGGGCAATGCAGTTGAACATCCTTGTTCAGCTAAACCTGAAAAGGTTTCTATGGAACAAATGTCACTTTTTGCATCCCAAATAGCTCCCTCTTGCTCCAGCTGCCGTTGTTTGCAGATAGACTGTGAAATTCAAAGGCAGTAGTCAGTTCCAAGGTGGCAGGAACATTGTGTGTTGTAACTGTTCACCTGCAGAAGCATATAGCTCCTCCTACAAACAGTGTGTATGTTATGAGGACTGTCATGCTTGAGTGTAATATAATGTCTTTTCACTAAATGAAATACCCACAGGAGACTGGCTGACTGGAAGCACTGGAAGGGGATATAGACTCTTTAATCTCTAGGAATGATAATATATTTACAGTTGATGGCTGTATAATGACATAAAATAAATAGTCACAGTCTTGGTCCCAAATAAGAGGTCTTAGTATCTCACATATCCCCATTCAGGTGTTTCAGGAAGGCCACAGATTTAATAATGTATCTGATCCTTGGTGCCTCTCATCTACTTGTTTAAGCCTTGCCAATCCCAGTTGTATTGTGCTGGTAGAAGGCTGTAAAGCATCTCTGTCTTGTGCTGCTTTGATAGTGAGCGTGCTCCAGGGCCATTGTTGCTGTGTGAGAAATTCTTATCCTAAAATTCCAGTCTTTGTGCAGTACAAATGTGATAGGGTGAGACTGTGCATACCCTTGGTGAAGGCAACTCGATATAAAAGATAAGCTACTGCAGCATAGTTCTCTGGCCCTTTCCTGTTGAGAATACTTCAGTCTAGCAGGGAGTTTTTGGTCTGAAATCTGTTTTGAAAAGCTTGTCTTCAGCAATGAAAGTTTTAAGGTTCAAGGTGAGTATCACATGTAGACAGAACAGATCCCACCACTGATTGCAGAATCTTTATAAAGAGGAAAGCAAGGATATTCACAGATTATTTTCATTACGTAATTGACTTACTCACATAATACGGAAATGGTTGAGAATATAATTTATGTGAAGCAAAGCTTACTCTGTGTATCAGAGGTTGCCAGTGTGTTTTGTCAACTTTTGATATAAAATAAAAAAAATCCTGGTGTGAATTACTCAATTAAATGTGTCTTCTGCAGAGTTCTGCTTTTGTATTAACATACTGCTTCCTGCAATATGCAAAGGCATTTAAAAAAGAAAAAAAAAATCCAATGCCTTACTGGAGGAAAGAAAATTTTGTACTCTTTCTTAAAATGCTTCAGATGCTAAACTGTGAATAGAGAGAAATGTGACACTCATCTTAATTCTTTTAGAAAGATGATTTCTTTAATTTTCTGGATGCCATAAATTGTCCTTCACCCCCCCTTTTTTTTTTAAGTAAAGCTGCTCCCTTCTGTAGCTTACATTGTGCTAAATTGATGATGAAGAATAGTACGGTTTATGAAGATAAATGTCAGGAATATCTTCTAAAGTAGACATTCAGATTTTTTTGGATTAATGGGAAAGAAGGTCAATAATTGCATGGATTTCAATAAGCTTGAGAAGAAATGGCATTCCTGTGGTGCTAGTGATTATTAAAACATTGTGAATTCATTTCAAGATACTGTACTCGGGTTTAATATATCTTCCATTGTGAAGGAATGACTCAGTAAGGGCTGTCAGTTTGTGCAGGTGATAGGAGATAATTCGTACAGCAATTGTATTTTTAAGAGAAAAAAGTTACAGCAGACAATACATAAATTTCTGTATGGTAGTCCTAATTTTAATTCTGCCTTATTAAATAGGGCCCTCCAGACTTCCAGCAGCATACGCCTGGACCAGTTCCTACCAACTTCTCCCAAGCCCCGAGGCTGCCAATCCAGGACCAGTGGAGAGGGCCACCCCCACCACCTCCACCACTCCCTCCTCCACCTCCTCAGGATAGAGATCCTTTCTTCATAGCAGGTGAGCATTTTCAGTGACTGCACTGTGACTACGTATCCCACAACATGAAGTGTTCAGAAGAACCTGAAGGCTGGAAGATCCCATCTCATGTAGCCAGGCTGGTACATGCCAGATACTGTGTTTGTCTAGTGTATAGTTTTACTTCTTTTGATGTGGATTTTAACTTCTTTTTTTTAATACATCTTCACCTGTAACTGCCATGAATCCAGATATTTATATGGACACAAAAATAATATCTAAGTGATTGTTGCAATGAAGTTGTTGTGCCTTGTTGTATTTTGGATAACAAGTACTCTCCATATGCTTGGGTTTCCTCTTGTAACTCTTTAAACTGCCTGGGCTGTGTGTAGTGCAAGAAATTTGTAAGGTTAGATAAAATGATACAGCCTAGCAAACAAAAGAGAGGGTAAGTGCATGTTTATACCATATATATGTAAGGTATATATATATAAAATATTATATTATATATATATAATACATAATATACTTGTACAGTATGTAAAAATGTGCTAAATACCTGGTCAGCAAATGGTGCCAATGCTTTATAAGTTCTTCTGTGGTTTAAGCTATAATTGCTGGAATCCTTCATTGATTTTATTAAAGTAGAATTTCTAAAAGGCATTGCTGATTCCAGCAAAGAACAAGTTGTGCTGGTCTTTCAAGGATCAATTCCTTTTACACACAAATGACAGGAACAAGAGAAACATAACCTCGAGGGTAGCTCTTATAATTAAAACATCCCATACAGTTCTGCACTCTGCAAATTTCAGGTTACTTTCCAAAACAGACGAGAGCTTTATGTTTCTGAAACGTGTTCGTGTTCCGGGGAGCCTGTCATTTAATCAGTTCTCTCGTTCTCACAGATCCGAGGTTCCCAGGTCATCCCTTGTTTGAGCAGCGTAGCCCCCCACCGCCACCGCCTCCCCCGCTTCTAAACAGCGCCCATCCCGTTCCCACGCAGAGCCCGATGCCGTTCAGCCCTCCCGGGCCCGCCTTCAGCCAGCAGGGACAGCAGCCGGTGTATCCCCGGGAGCGGCCGGTGCGGCCCAGCATGCAGCCCCAGGGCCCCGTGGGGATCCTGCACTTCAGCCAGCCGGGCTCGGCCACCCCGCGGCCCTTCATCCCCCCGCGGCAGCAGTTCCTGCAGGCGCCGGGACAGCCCTTCCTGTCCCCGCACACGCAGCCCAGCATGCAGGTACGGGCCGGGGCTGTAACGCCGCCGAATGGCGGCTCCGAGGGGCACGGCCCGGCGGTGCCGTCACGGCCGTGCCCGGGGAGTGATGGGTCCGAGTCCGCTCGGGGCCGGGGCCGCGCGGGGCGGCAGCGCCCTCTGCCGGCAGCGGCCTCTGCCGCGGGGCAGCGCTCCGGGGCTGTGCAGAGGGCCGGGATGAGCGTCATTAGAAAACGCTCTGCGGGACAGGATCTCTTGAATTCCTCTCTTTTTTTTTTTTTACGTCAGCTTACACAGGTTTAAGCGTAAGCTTCTGTCGGTCTGTTTTTTCCTCTGTATGATTTTAGTGTAACCTGGTTCATAGCTGCTAACAGTTCTAGGGACTCAGGAGCTGGAGCTGCTTTTCCAGGAGTTTATTACTTTGAAACTAAACTATTTTTTTTTCATGTGAAGGGTCCCATGCATCCTCCATTACAGCCTCAGCCACCACCTCAGCCTCAGCAGCACCATCACCAGCAGCAACAGCAGCACCATCACCAGCAGCCGCAGCAGCATCACCATCTGCAAGGGCCTCCACAGCCCTTGATGCCCATGAGCCAGCCACAGTTCAGGCCTCACATGCAAGCCACACAGCAGCAGCCAAATAATAACAGGATGCAGTGTCAGCCACGACAGGGTCCAATGAAGCCAAGGCATGTAAGTACCATGTACATCAGTGTCCTGCATGAGTACCAGGCATGTAAGCACAGGTTTCAAAACTCACCAGCGTGGGTTTTCAGTTTTATTTATTCCCTTCCTGCTCTTTCCCCTACTTTTACCATCTCTTGCTCATTTTCTGCCTTGATCATTTTATAATCTACTTGAAAAATATTATGTGCATCTTTCTTTTCCCCTCTGGTCTTTAGTGTTCTTTTTGGTTTGGGTCCTGTAGGAGATGTTGCAGTTGCCCAAGAACCAGCAATGAATGGGTTATGAAAGATGACAGATTTGTTTTACAACTGCTTCTAGTCTGTGATTCTGTGGGAGTCCAATTCTGTGACACCCTCTTGATTTGGAGGATTCTCTGTACCCCTGCTGATCAGTTTTCTGGTTGAGATAGCGCTTGTCTTGTGAGTTTCCTCCAATGCAGCGTATTCTGCTGCTTGGTAGGTTGGGTAGCACAGCAGCTTGGAGCGGTGCTCAAGACAATGTAACTATAGTTTAGCATAATTGCTTTGATTGGGAAAGGAAATCACACAGTGAATCCAATTTCTGGGAATGGTGTTAAACAAGTGAGATAAACATTTACTTTTAATTTGAAATAAAAGTTATTAAGATGTTCTTATTTTTGTATTTGTTTTATGACATTAAAAATATTGTGCCTCTTCACAAAGCTTGTTTTCCCAAACTGAACTAAATCAGGAAAATGTGAAACCAGAACCACTTCAGCCTGGTTGGTGGTGGAAGTCAGCAGTCTTTTTCCTTTCTGCTTTTCAGAGTACCCCATCACAGAATATTGTCAAGCGTTCAAATCAGCAGCTCCAGTCGACTGCTCCCAGGAACAGCAACTTGCGCGAGTTGCCGATAGCCCCGTCCCATGCCATGGAGATGAGCAACAACAGGCGAAACTCCACCCCAGCTGCTCAGGTCAAACCCATTACCAGCACCATGTCTGCCACCAAGTCTGTCACTGGTGGTGGCAACTCCCAGGGAAGGCCTGAGATGAAAGCTAAAGCAATCACTCCAGTGGGCCAGGCAAAATCAGAAGGAAAATCTGAACCAGAGGTAAGGGATTTTTTTATTTTTTTTTGCTTAAACAGAAAAGCAAAAACCAAGCAAGAATCAAAGCTTCCACCTCTAAAAAACTTTTCTAGTCTGATTTATGAACTGAAAGCAACACTTACTGTATTATCCACAAAGTATTTTTTTGGTGCCACTAGAGGCCTCCCTTCTGAATTGCACTTTTGTCTTTTATCGCAACGGCAGAAATTTTCTCCATTGAAATAAAAGGTCTGGAAGGCTGGCAAGGCTATGGTGAATTTGTTTTTCAAGAGGAAGAGTCATTTCTACTAGGAAAAGACAGAATTTGAGTAAAGGTGACCAGTGATACAAGTCCCTCAAATACTCATTTCGCCCATTTTTGTCTTTGGGAATTGTAATTTATTTTCAGGTGATCATATTTTTCTAAGTTTGAAAGCTTCTTCTCTGTCATTTTGTGTGATGCTGTATGGCTCAAAGGAAAAAAAAGGCTATTTGGAGAGCTATCTTCCTCTTGCTATTTTCCTTTAGGCTGTTCAGTCTCTACTAGGCCTTAAGCATTCATGCAGGAGATCATAGCTGTGCTGTCTGTGGAGCTCTTGAAAAAGAAAATCTCTTCTTTATGAAACCTTTTCGTGTAAGGGAAAAGAAGAGATGCTTTTAAGTCTTATATTTTGGAGAAAGTGATGCTGTTTGCCCTGCTGGTACTCTGCACAATTGAAAAAAATCAGATGCCGGTGTTTTCAGCTCCACTGGATCGTGTTGTGTGAACAGGTGACCATTTCCCTGCACAGATCTCCTGGAAGCTAGAGAAGACTCTCCATGAGCTCTTTGACTTTGAGAGAGTGGGTAGGATTGGACTGATGAAGCTCTTGATCCTGAGCATGATGGCTAAATGCACCCTGTGTGCTTTGTCAGGCTATTCTGTGAATAACTGTAAATCTTTATAGTTTTAGTTAACCATGAATCTTGTCTCAAGGACCAGGTTTTCTTCAACAACTATGGAAAGCTTTAATTGTGATAATGCTGTCTTCCTTTTAAGCTGCTCATGATTAGCTTTTCATCTTGTTCTTGAATTAGGGATGGTCATAACTAATTTCCACAAATGAGGCACAAAAGAAACGCAAAGCTATCAGTGTTTGACCTCCTGTGCACTTGCTTTTCAATGGAAAAAAAAATAAATCCTTTTTTTAGCTTTTAATTTTCACCTTTTTTGGAAAATATATTTAAGTAATCTCTTACTCCTCAATTGAGTCTCTTGGAATAATCTCAGTCACAGAAAATGCAGTGCCTCATAGAGAAGCCTTGCCTTTCAGGCCATTAGTAAGGTAAGTCTTGAAAAATAAGCCACAGGCCTCCTTATCTAAAACATCTTTAAGTTATTCTGTAGTGTAGTCATATGAAAATTAAGGCATTAGTTCCAAAGTATCTCTGGTAGCATTCAGAAAAATACAAGAATATTTTTAAATGTCTTTTAATTAAGCAAATTAGAAAACTAAAAATAACAAACTACAAACAAACTAGCAAACTAAATAAAAACTAACAAACAAACAACCCCATAGCAGTCATTTTGTTGTCTTCATTTTACATTTTAAACATACTCTAGCCTGTGGTTATGAAACCAACCAATCTTACCTAAATTCTTCTTGTATCACAAATAAAGCTTTCTCTTTATTTCCCTGTCAAAACTGTCATTGAAAAAATCTGATACATGTTTTATGCAGGTTTTTGAAAAACAGGATAAAAAAACAGGGTTGTCTTGGAAAAAAAATGAAGTCTCCTAGTAGCCCTTGGAGATATATTTGGCAAGCAGGAGAATGTGACTTTGTGCACACAGAACCTCCTTCCAAAGCCCACCTGGGGCGGAGCCTGGTGCTGCAAACAGTGTAGTAGCAGTTGTTCCATTTCTGCTGTGCCCCTGCAGTGGTCTTGTTCACTGCTGCTGCTTATTGTCACTCTTACAGATGGGAATGCTGCACTAAAAATGTTCATTTACAATCATTTAGTCATATTCTTCACTGTTTTTGTAATGTGGGTTGCTACATATCTCTCCTGGGGCAGATTGTAATGTTTTGCAGTCTTTTTGGTGTGTTTTTCTTGTAATTAGCTGACTTCATCCTATTCTTTTGCTTTTGATGATGATGAGAAAGAGTTAAGTTCTGTCACCTTTTCTAGCTGTATGGCACATAACTGAATTGGGCAGGTTATTTTGCAAGTGTCTTCAACTGGAAAATTAAGACTTTTCTTTGCATCTTTATTTCTAAAGAATCAGTGGCTGTATTTATGAGGGGCCTATCATTCAGGAAGCACCAAAAAATAACAATATTGGCTGTTAGAGGTTTTGCTCACCCTAAATATAGATATTTGAAAGGTTTGCAACATGAGTGATTAGAAGATTAAAAACTGTATATTAATGGAATGCTTGTGTTCCTGTTCCTGTGAGGCTGCAAAATACTGACCTTAAATGCCTGTTCAGAATACCTTTTACTCTCCAGGACTTAAATTGTATATCCTCAGTCTGAAAGATCATTTTGTCATTGAAATCTCTAGACAAATTATTCTAGCGTCTTATGTTTTAATGTTACAGCTTACGAAAATAAAGACAAGCTTGCTGAAAAGATCTGTGTTTATGCCACAGATCAAACCATTTGGATTTCTCTGTTCTTGCACCCATTTTACTGAGACATATAAGTGATCCTGGTTGCATGATTTCTTTCTTGTTCCTTGGGAGCCAACCAGAACATTAACAGTGTCTGGTTCTTATGACTCAGCATTTGGTTCTATTAATTAACAATTGATCCTGAAAAGGAATGTGTTTGTTTATTTCTTTTTAATGCACTACATGAAAAGCAAGCTACTAGTACTAGGACTTAAATTTCAGTAGAAAGCTTAATCCCTTGATTTAGAGTGTGTCCTTGCTGTCTTTTCCTAAGTCAACAGTGCCATTCTTGATTCCCCAGAGGAAGGATGTGGGACTGCTGCTTCTCTTGCTGGTGCTCTTCAGCTAGATTTAGGAAAGCAGGCTGTAATGTTTACTTTTGGTGCTTTCCATCAAAACTGCCTTGGACCTTAAGGCAGAAGAAAAACCTACAGCTAAGGCTCAGTCTCCCTTCAAACATCAGTGAAATGCATTGTGTTAAAGCTGTACAAAGATGGATGAGAATTTCCACTTGAAAAAAAAGCCAAAACCTGGCAGAAAAAACCCTCTCCTCCAAAACCAAGTGTGTGTCTGGCCTTTCGTACTTGGCAGCCTCCTGTAAAAGGAGGTGGCATGTACCTGTACAGTGTACCATTTCTTCTTGTTAGGGAGTTTTCTACCCAAAACATGTGAAGCTTAATAATTTATCTAGGGAAAAGGCTGCTCCATGTTTTTCTGCTTTTTCACCGACAGATAATGTTGCTTCCAGACACTAAACATGAAAATGAGAATGGTTTGAACTTTGAAGGATGTGTAATTTTTCCCAGTTGATTCTCTGGGCAAAATGCTTGCTTACCTGGCCTTTTTCTCCTTGGCAGTGCTGTTGTTTATTGTAGAAATCTATACTGGACTTAATAAACTAATGGGATGGAAATCATTAGCAATAGGTATTGTGACCTGTGTTCGTCTTGACCCTGTCTTGCTTGTTCCATGTGCCAAATGTCCTTATTACATATTATAGGGCATCTGTATTACTCTATCATCTGTATGTACTACACATCACATACATGCCCCTACTCTCTGGAGTGGTTTATATAATGTGCTCTTAAAGCTGAGGAGAAGGGGATTTAACTGCCCCTGTTTTCATTCTGATAATGATTTTGCTTTCTTTCTCAATCTGTATTGTTGGGCCATTATACAACTAAATTCACTTAAACCTGACTTCTGATGGAGATATTTTGTTAATCATCACAGGGCCTTTATATTATTTTCCTCTACCCTCTGCAAGGGTATTTTGTTTAGAATTTAACCGTAGTACTAACTTGTCTTTGAAGGATTTAGGTTTACCTCTAGCCTGTTAAGAGACTGATCTGCAGTTGTCATATAACCTCGGGGCTCTTGATGCTTGATTTTAACCTTTAAGAAGGGATTGACTTCCTAGGATCATTACTGATTTCCTGAGTTAAGTTCCAGAAAGGAAGGTTTTGGATTATATTTGGGATCAAGTTGCCTATATATTCTGCTAAGCATTCTTTGAACTGCACGTGTGTTGGTAATATTTTGTCAGTCAGTCTGACAAAATATTGTCATTCATCTTTCTGTGTTTAATTCTGGCATAGTTGGAATGAGTGTGTCTGTCCAAGGGCTGTTGCAGGGATATTAGTCAGAGTCCCTCGGGATGTTCATTCCTTGTCTGCTGGCAGAACTCATTTGAGTGTGCTGCAAAGCTCACATCTCTGTGCTATGTGTAACCTTTGAGTTGGTGTTCTGAGCCTACCACATCGTGATCTACATCTCCCAAGGCCTTCAGAACTTGTTAGGTGATAAAATGAGCAGGCAAATCCCTCATAATAAAGGCCACTGGTAGAAGTGGTGGTCTCCTGAAGAGTAGTGCTGCAATGTTCCAATTGAATATAAAGGAAAAAAAATTTACAGAGCTACTTCCAAAAGTACCTTGGTCCATGGTATCCATCAGGCTTGTTTAGATAAATTGTAAAATATTAGAGTCTAAACCAAAGAAGGTAAATAACTGATTCATTAAGTTAAGTGAAACAAGTTGTCCCTCGGAACAATTGCAGTAATTATGATACTTAGTGTCTCTGAAAATGACTGAAAATTTTATTAATTGCATCAGGATCAGCATAACAATACATCCTCCACCTAGATGGAGCCTTACGTATTTTCTCATCCTTTGCAAACTATTCTCAAGGGTCTTAATCTTTCCTTGTATTTCATAAGGGTCATATTCTATTTTTTTTTTTTTTTGCTACAATCCATCATCTCCAGTTGTCAATAGAAGATGAAATATCAGGGTTTCCTCTTGTAGAAGTATGTTTCTGTGCCATTTTTCAACACAGACCTCTAATTTAGTTGTCATAGTGATTGTTCATTACCACCATTGTGTTCCACAAAATATAGATAAAGATAAGAACTTTTGGGTAGATGTAGCATTCTCATGCAAAGAACTGTATTAGATCTCATCCCTGAACTACGACCCATACTTAAAAAAAGAAATACAAATTGTAAAAATGCAATTTGGTTAGTTTTATTTAGCTATTGTTTAGGCTTTGATTTAGACTGCTAATTAGATGCTTGTAATTGGATTTCCAATTTGAGACAACGAGCTGGTTTTTGGTAACTGTGAGAATAATCCCTGTCAATACCTGCGCAGGGAAGAAGCAGCTGTAGCTGAAGGAAATGAGCATTCGTGATTTGTGCATTTGGGTGCTGTGAGTGCAAACCTGGCTCTGCTGGGCTTTCACATCCATGAGCCCAACATTATGGCTGAAACTGTTCTGAGTTTTTTCTTGGGTTGAGGAGGATACCAGAGTGCACTAGGATTAAAAGTGCTTGAATATTAAAAAAACCCCAAACCTTCAAGTCACATATTTGGGTCACATATGTTCAAAGAATGGCAGTTGTGTCGAAAATAGTTGGCACCCGGTTGCTGCAAGATACATGAAGGTTCATCACAAATTCCCAGTTTTTGAGAAATATTTTAACACTCTTTTTGCATTAACCTACCAGCATGTGAAGTACTTTTACTTGGAGAGGCTGTTGTAAGGAGTGGTTAATACATATTGAGTACAATGTTGTCCTCATTACCATTTGGAAGCATTCTCTATAAGTCTAACTTGGTGTTTCAAATGGTTAAAAAGAGAGAAATAATAAGTATGCTTCCTAATTTTGAAAAATATATGCGATTTTATTGCAAGAGCCATTTGATTTCTTTTCCAGGATGATGAGAATCTGCATTTCCTTGACTCTTGTCCATTTTTATACAGCTTTTCATAAGAACCTGTTCTGCCAGAGTTGAAGAATCTTTAGAAAGGTTATTTGATGGTGTGCAGTACTTTCAGAGGGGCCCAGGGCTGGAATATTAAAGGCATTCTCGATATACCATTAATATTCCAGCACTGCATTTGGCAACATTTTGATTCTGAAGAGAGTGCATGAGTTCAAGGTCAGAGAGATTGACTTGTGCTGTTCATTATAACCAATTATTGTGTGACAAATGAGTTTGAGATCAGGCTTAAAATTCTGTGAGAAAAATCAATAGTTCTAATCAGGGCCTTTCAGGTCATTTACCACCCTACCTTTTGTTACTTTGTCAGAAAAGAGCAAGATAAAACCTGTGTGACAGTGGGTTGCCTCTGTATTGTTACCTTCTATTTGAAACATATTTTGATATCTTGAATTATATTAATAGTTTAATTGGTTTTGGAAACTTTTAAATTAGGTCCAATTTGTAAAACTTTTTTTATTATTTTTTTTTTAGTATTCAGATCAGATTTCTCAAGTGGTATTAAAGCTTTTCTGTCTAGGAAGTAGTGTATCCAAGTCCTAAACCAGATTTGAGCTGTTTGTCTGTAATGAATAGCAAATAAACCTTAGCAGCAGATACACTCCACTAATAGCCTTGGTTTGGTATCAGGGAAAATGTAAAAAGCTCTTCAGAGTCACAGCTTTACAACATCTGAGACAATTCCATGTTGTTTTGACCAGGCTGGGCATCTGTTTAGAATTTTATAAATTCATTTATTTTTTCCTTTATAGTATCCAGATGAAGATGAAGAAACTCGATTGTACCGTTTGAAGATAGAAGAGCAGAAGCGCCTGAGAGAGGAGATCCTGAAGCAGAAGGAGCTGAGACGGCAGCAGCAGGCTGGGGCCAGGAAGAGAGAGTTGCTGGAGAGACTTGCACAGCAGCAGCAGCAGCAGCCTTGCTCCCAGCAGTCCTACATGCAGCCCGAGGAGGACTCCTCCGAGTTCCCCACCAACGGCAGCCCCTACATACCCCACTCCGGCTTGCAGACCAGGCACAACGTGAAAAACAGACTCCTTGTTAGAAAGCAAGACGCGGTAGTTGCAAACATCCACCCCAAACCCACAGATTTCCCCCAGGGCGCAGGGGACGGGCAGTACCAAGGACAGCAGATGAAGCCAGTGAAGCAGCTGAGGCAAACTAGAACAGTTCCTGCGGGTCAGCCTCAGGCGCCACAGAAGGTGTTACAGAGCAAACCTGCCGCGGCGGCGCTGCCCGCGCCACAGGCGGCTCGAGTGGCCTCCGTCCCCGCGAGGCCCCAGGAGCAGAAGCCGGGGGTGAAAAGGACTGTCATGCAGCGGACAAACAGTGGTAGTGATGGGCCCCATGTCGGCAGCAAAGTCAGGGTGATTAAGTTGTCAGGAGGGGTAAGTTTACAAGGCTCGTCTCATCTGTGTGTCTCCTCGTGGTTTGTTTCTGTGTGTTTGACTCTCTGTAATCATGAAATAAAACACGGGCCTGAGCTGATGAGGAATGTAACAGGTTTAGAGTACCTGATAGTCTATATATTATATTTTCAGAGCTGTGGTTTATTAGCAGTTATTAAGCAATTAGTGTTTCCTGTAATGCATTACTGTCAGGCAGTTACTAATGAAATCATATTTCAATACTCCTTTCTTTTAAGCTGTAACTTGGAGTCTGAAATCTCAAAGACCGCTCAATTGAGCTCCTTTTGCTTAAGGTTGATAGGTCTGAAAATTGCTCAGAGAGAAGAATTTAGGTGTATTTAATTAAGGTTTGGTTAAAAAGGACCTACTTATTTGGTAAGTGAGGCCACCTAATTTAATTGTGTGCAGATGTTGGTATTAGTATGGTTTCTACTCAGGGGAAGATGGCTTTTAATTTCTTGGGAAGCATGTTATGAAATTAATTTAAGCAGTATATTGGAGGGGGATGTTTTCTGTTAGAGGCTGGGTTTAAAACGTTACCATTTCACTTCTGCATCTAAATGAGATTTCCTTATCTCTTGATGTGGGGTCTTTTATCTGTAGTGTGTCCCTTGAGTACTGGTGTGGAGGACTCACAATGATGATCTTGAGGACAGTGTGCGTATTTAAAATCTGGGGCTTTGGTGAGAAAGTCTCTCGACCAAATCTCTTCTGTCTTAATGAAAAGACAAGTTAATTTGTTAGGGCTCTGAAGAAGCTAAGATGAGGGGACATAGAGATTGTGTTGTCAGTGTTTGAAGTCTGTCCTTGGGTTTATGCTGAGGAGGAAAGAATGATGTGATGTAGCAGCACACTGGGTGTGTTTTTCTGGAAGAATGCTTTTAAATTATTTGGAGAATTGTATAGGGAAAACAAAACAGTGTGTAAAAGGGACTGAACAAGGCCTTGGAGGCTAGGCTTTACTCTGTAGAAATGGGGAGGAAGTTGAAATGCCAAGGTCTTAACTACTTTCTATTAATGTTTTTCTACAGCTTATAAAAATTATACTCAGAACTATGAATTGCATAATGACTATATGGTCTTTCCAAATACTAACATGAAGGGCGTTATTGACTGCATAGACATCCTGTACATAAGGTTGCTGTCAGTTCTAATTCCTCAGGCATGGTAACTTAAGTACAGAAGAATAAAATACAGGAAACTGAAAGAAATTCATTCTGTTGAGCTAAAAATATTTATATATAAGTATGATTGCAGGAATCCCAGTGGCTTGCAAGAGGTATGACAGGTTTGTGATTCATGCATAATTGAATAAAGCAGTCATGCACAACTTCTTTTATTACGTGGTGAAACAAAACAATGCCAGTCACAACTGTATACAGCTCCTTGTAACAAATAGTTATCAGTGCCCACAGCAGCATTCACAATGAAATAGTTTTTATCACAATGCTTTATTTCAGAAGACTGTGAATGGTTTGTTTCAGATAAGTCTCATGGTAAGAAAGAGCAATTAGCTTAATTATTAATGCATGTATAACTCTTCTTTCATTGTGTACAGAAACAGATTTACTCTGTCCTCAACTTTCAGATACTGAGGTTTCAGCAAGGTGAAGCAGGTTTTTTACATGTAGCCTTTGTCACAGTTCTCATGTTGCTGTGGACTTTTTAAGTTTCCTTCCAACTGTGGGAGAGTGAAACCAAGCATTGCAATTAGCTGTTAACACTGATCAAGATAGTTGATTAATTTTTAATCAGTTAGTGATAAGCTGAATCTGTGACTTTATTTCTTTGACCACACAAGAAAAAAAATTGAACAGTAGGGTAGACAATCTGCTAGTCCATTTTTGACAGGATTTATTTAAAAGAGGAGTTAAAAGGTGCTTGGACTCCCAAGTATTATCACAATTGGAGATCATACATAGTTTCCATGCCTTAATCCTGCCTCAGGCTTTATTTATTTTCATGACTTTTGCCTGAGCACGAAATATAAATCAGAAGCCAAATATCATTTTCCCTAGCCGTTCTGCTTAGCGTGTAAAAGTGCTTCCTCTTTTTCCTTGCCTTTGGCCAGAGGGTTGCTGGTATCTCTTACCTGTATGCACTGGCTCTGTCCTGCAGCTTAAGCATCCCTGCCCTTGCTCTCTGTCTTCATTTCTTGTCCTCTTTCCCTTACTTGAGCTCCTTTGTGCAGAGGTCTTGAATACATTTGTACAAGTGAGATAGAAAGAATGCAGGTTCCCTTTGGAAGCTCACTGGGTTCAAGTGAAGGCCTGGCAAATGTCTCCTGTGCACAGTGCCATTGGGGAGCTCTCGCTGGAGGAGCTGCTCGAGTCCAGAGCTGTACTAACTCCAGACCAAGCCGGCCTAAACCAGAAACTGGTAACAAGGACTGTTACTAATTCAGTAGGGCCATCTATAGAACCAGGATTCAGTGGTTTGATGTTGCTGATGATGTTTTTTGTATAACAGTTAAGCAGTGTGATGTGTTGGTGAGAATTGTGGAGTACAGATACTGTCAGAAGAGAATGGCTCCTTTTCTTGGGGGCAGTGTCTTTACCAGGCTGAGCTTTTGTCTGTGTTGCTGGGCAGAGCAGCGCTACCAAAGATCTCTGACCTGCAGGTAGAAATACCCCGTGGGTCCTTAGAAGATGAAATGGTCTTTCATCTGTTTTCACAATATTCTTTTGTGAGAAGATTTTACTTTTGGAATTTTAAGAACTACCTTGTAAATTACAAGAATATTTTAACTTGTTCAGTTTTTCTGATGCATAAGATGCCTTAATTTATGACTTCTTGTTCTTCAGGAAAATGAAAGTAGAAAATGATTCAGCATTTCCAGTATGTCAGACTGTATATCAAGGTGACATGTTAGGTACTGTCAGTAATGATTTTGTCTGTTGATGCTTTTTTATTTTTTAAATAAATCCCACTCTTCGCCTCCCCTCCAATACTGATTTGCCCATCCCTTTCTAATATACATATAATTTATGCAGGAATGGCAGTAAAGTGAATAGCTTTCCATTTTAATTACTCCTTTAAATGTTATGTTCCTGAATTAGGCAGTGTTTAGCACATCGACTTGGAATTCTTTTGTTGCTGGCTTGGTTTTAGATTTGGTTTTTTTGGAGGATGGTGAGTGGTTGTTGGGGATTTTGGTGGGGTTTTTTGTTGCTTTGTTTCTGGTTTTGTTCTTGGTTTTATTTTTTCCAAGGAGGCTCAGATATCTTTCAGTGGATCCAGTGTGCTTTGTTTTTGTGGCATTTCCTCAGAGCTGTCCTTTTCAGATACAGGAGTTCAGTGTATTCACTGAGTATTCATACTTGGAAATTTTACTGTTAAAGCATCTGAGACTTGCTGGGCTTGCTGAGGAGCCTGAAGTCAATCCTAAAGTTACTTGTAAGTATAAAATCAATAAAAGTGTAGGAAGGAAACACCCTAATAAATCACTTCAAAATGTGATCATAAAATTATAGAAATTAAGGGTGAAAAGAGTATTGAACTGATCTGTTTGAAGGGCTAGGATGAACTCTGTATTATTCCTGGCAGATTTGTCCAACCTTTTTCTGAGATCTCATTATAGATTTCCCAGATCATCTATTCCAGTATCAAATGTGTATATTAAGGAGAATTTTCTTAGTGACCAAATCACATTTTCTTGGTGTAATTTTGAATTTCTGATTATTTGTACTATACTTGAAGAGAGATGGGGAAGAATTTCTCTCTCTTTGTGCCTGTCTCTCTTTTTAAAGATATCTTAGCTGTTTCTGAACTCTAAGATCTTTCTTTCTCTCTTGATGAGTCATGTTTTCTAATACCTTGGCTTTGTGGTGCTCTTTGGGCTCTCTGTCATCAATCTCTGTTAAGAGCTCTAGTTCTAAATGCAATTGAATTCCTTCAGCCAGTATATTCAGAGTTGTTTTAGTCCTGGAAGAACAGGTTTGTACCAACTATAACCTTATATAACTTAAGATCATATGAAATATATGCTGAACATGTTTCCTATTTAGTTGGAGGTTCTGTGGTAAATTACAGTATCTTAAAATCTCTGTATCATTGTCATCTTATGTTGTTGGATGATTTTTCTCTTAGCCAGAAAATGTCCTGCCATGCTCAGAGCGCTGTGTGTCTGTCCCAAAGGACTGAAAATGCTGGGTTCTTATGCTGCACCAAGAACACACCAATCTGTGTCTCTGTGGAAAGCTGCACAATGAGGGTTTTTTCATAAATACATATATAGATAAAATACATAAAAATTTGGTGTTCCCCGTTGCATTACAAGCAGTATCTTAAAAGTGATCCGTATTCCTGAAAACCTGAAATGCTTCATATGAAAAGCTTGAAAATAGAGGTGGCAAATTCTTCTGTTTGAAAAGCCTGTCACAGAAAAATGTCCTTGGGTTGCAAAAACAAGATGGAAATGGAAGATGGACAACTTTGTTCGTATTTCAAGCAACTGGGAAGTGTGAGATGAATATGGAAAAAAGATACTGATTGAGATGATTCTTGTTTGATAATGTAACCTTATCAACCAGCTTTGCTTAAATATTTGTACTTGTTTCTACTTGCATGTATATGTTCAAGTTTAATTAAAAATATTTGACTTGAAAGCTCTTTAGCGCCTTTCATGTAAATATTTCAGGAATTGCAGACACTAAGAATTGTAGCATTTGTGTGGGAAGTTCATGAGGGAGCCCTTTCCCCAACCCCTGACAAAGGAACTCTTGCCCTATTATAGGCCCTACGGTCCCATAACTTATTAAGGAATGGGAGAATGGCTTTGGTGTTTGTTTGCCACTGTTGGAAGGAGGTGCCCACCTGGGAGTGGGCTGAGGGAGCTGCAGGAGCCGTATCTGAGCACCCAGGTACCATGGCAAAATGGGTACGACCTCTGAAGCAGCATTAATGTAAATGCTGTTGAAGAAGGACTCTGCCTGCCATAACCTGCAAGATTTCGCTCTGGAAATATTTCACAAATGGAC